GACTTCCTAGGATGCTTAGGGAATGGTGTTTTGGGTTTATAGACACGTTCCTGGTCATAATTTGCAGTTACAGGCGAAGCAGCTTTGTTCTGGGGTGGGTGACGAGCGTCACTAGGGGGGTGACGCTCGTCACTCACCTGTGACAACCCCCGATTCTCTTCTCTGTTGGTGACGAGCGTCACTCCTCCTTGGTGACGCTCGTCACTCACCTCTGAGACAGAAAAATTTTCATCTTCAGACTCCATGAGTTGCACGATCTGTTCTGCACTCAACCTCTTTTTCTGCACTGTTTTAAGCTCCTTTTCATTCCTGACTGTGATGGCATTAACCTGATGCTTGGGATTGATATCAGTCCTTCCAGGAAGGAATCCCTCTTGCCTTTGAACAGCTCTTGCAGTTTGAGCAACCTGCACATCAAGCTTCTTCATGTGAGAGTTCAGACTCTCAATTTTTCCATTCAGGTCTTGATACAGCGAATCTAGCTTGCCATTGAAGTTCATTGTCATCTTCTGCTGTCCTTCAAGTACCTGCTCCAGCATAGCTTCCATTTTATTATCTTGTGGAGGTGCAGTTTGGTAGGAAGAAGAACCAAAATTCCTGCTGTTTTGGTAAGGTTTTTCAACTTCAGTCTTCTGGAATGGGGGCTTAGGAGTGTAACCAGGCGTGCTCTGTCCTCCTGTAAAGGTACTCTGCTGATTATTGCTGTTGTAGCCTCTGATCCATTGCTGATTTCCAAACCTTTGGCTCTGAAAACCCCCTCCATTGATGAAATTAACATCTTTCTGCTCAAATTCTTCAGGATTTTCGAAACTCTCCACTTCTGCAGCGAATTGGACTGACTTCTTTCCCACCAGAAGGCTGTGCATGCTGTCTAACTTAGCCTTAACTTCAGCTATTTGGTTTCCATCATTCAAACCAGCCTGCTGCTTTCTCTGAAAATCTGCATTCTTAGTGCTGTTACTGCAGGCCAAGTTTTCAATCAATCTTACAGCTTCTTCTGGTCTGTTGGTGTTGAAGTTTCCTGCACTTGCTGCATCCAGCGCCATCTGATATTTCCAGTCAATGCCTCTGAAGAAGATTCCAAGTAATTGCACCTGACTGAAACCATGATGAGGACAGTCCCTTTGATAAGACTTGAACCTGATCCAAGAAGCCTTAAAAGCTTCAGTAAGGCCTTGTGTAAAGGAAGCAATTTTCGTCCTCATGTCCTCTGATCTTGCATCATCATAGAAGTTATTCAGAAAGGCGTTCTTAGTGTCTTCCCAAGTGGTCAATGAAGCAGGTTCCAGTTGCTTCAGCCAATATGCAGCTTCTCCTCCAAGAGAGTAAGGAAAAAGCTTGCAGAACAGAAAATCATTGCTGACTCCAGTAGCTTTGACACTTGAAGCCAAGTCCTCAAATCTCTCTATGTGATCCATAGGATGCTCATGAGGTAAACCATGGAAGGGATGCTGTCCAACAAGTTGATAGTAGACAGGTTTAACCTCAAAATCGTTCCTCTGGAAGGCAGGAGGTCGGATTGCAGCTCTGTTGGCATAGAACTGATCAGGTCTGTTGTAGTCGCCTAGAGTCCTCTGAACAAAACGCCCAGCAGCGTTATTGACAGCAGCAGGGACTCCCACGTTCTCAGCCACTTGCTGAACCTGCTGTTCAACAATGACATTCCCCTCTTGATCAATTCTCTGCCCCTCTTCGTTTCTCCTGTTTCCTTCCCTGTCAACCAAGTGACCTTCTGCATCTTCAACCAAGATCAGTGGAGCGACCATTGTAGATTGCTTCTTAGCTTTCCTGTTAGTTCTCTCCAACCTAGCAAGCTCGTCGATGCTCAAAGTCACAAGCTCCTTCTCTTTGTTGCTTCTGGTTCTGCGATTAGGCATACACCTGAAACAGGAACAAAGAAAAGTAGCTGAAAGTCAGTAAACAAATAAAAACTTAGACAAAATCCTAATACTAAAATTCGATAGGCAGCTATTACTCCCCGGCAACGGCGCCAAAAACTTGATAAGGTCAGGTTTTACCCAAATAAAACTACTGCAAGTGCACATCAAAAGCAGTTGTAGTACAAGGGGTTATCGAATCCCAAGGGAGTATGTAAACCACACTAGCGATTATAGATTCAGATTAAGCTAAGCGATAAATAATGAATGTAATGCAAAATAGTAAAATAAATGCAAGAGGGCGTTTTTATGCTTGTTCTTAAAGTTCAGAAGGCTAAAGGCGCTAAGTCAGGACAGTTCGCAGGTTGAATCCGAGAGTGTAGAATGCATGCAATCAGGAATGAATTAAAACCGTCTTGAACATGAATCGCAAAGATATAACTAATCAATTCTCATTGCAGAAGTTATCTATGTCTAAATCACAGAGTTTCAAATCTCTTTGCAAACCCTAACAACCTAAACATGCAGTAATGATCATGTTCAATTGTTCACAAAACTCCTAAGCCAAATCTATTTGTACTAGGGCGTTTTGCTCATCTAATACTAGTTCAGGTGATTAATAATGTTCTCACATCTATCAAAAACCTAGGGTTTCGAAATCCAGATGATGTGTCTAAGAAATCGATATGAATGCAAGCACAGATGAAGAACCAATGAATTTCCTATAAGTTTTTAGCAATTCTACAAACTCTTCTTCAACCTTTGAAAAGCCCTAATTTAACTAACAAACTACTCAGACATGGTGATTTGAGAAAACATCATGAAAAGAATAGATTGCATAAAAGAAATAAGAAGTAGAAATAAAGGAGTTCAAAATCTGCTCTGAAGGAGTCTGATTTGTCTCTCCAAAAGCTCTTCTACAAATCTCTCTCTAAAGCTCTCAAAAATAATAAGATACAAGATATATGCCAAAAGAATGGCTGAAAAACCTAATATGCAAGCTAAAACACGATCTGGGGCCTTTTTGCAAAAACTGGAACTTCTGGGCCAAAACTGCAATTTCTTCCCAATCTTTTAAAAACAGGCCACGACCTCCTTCCTTGGTGGGTGACGAGCGTCACCAGCTTGGTGACGAGCGTCACCATATGGCATACTTTCTTCTTCGAGCTAGGTACTTCGTGGCTTCAACTCAGAATGCTCCAAAAGGTTTCAAATTCTCCAATTATGCTCCAGACATGCTATAACCTGCAAAGACTCTTCTAGGACTCTAAAAAATACCAAAAAGACCCAATAAAAAAGACTTATATCATGGTTAAAAACCATAAAAACCATGATATATCAGCTCACAAATAATCTATCAAAGGCTCTGCAAAAGAAAGCTCAAGACATTTTGAATGCTATGTCTCTAGTGAAATCCACCAAGCAGCAACTGTGCACTCTTTTTGTGAGAATCATAAAACTGAGCTGCTCATTATGGAAGAAGAGTTTGTCGATCCAAAGAAACCACGAAAAAAGCAACATGGCGAACTTGCATCATTATCAGGTGGAATGCTTTTACACAGTATTAGACATGCAAATTCAAGAGTTCAATGACCATTTTGATGAGGTAAACATTGAATTGCTTGGATGCATTGTGTCTTTGAGTCCTATTGATTTATTCAATGAGTTTGATCTCTTGAAACTTCTGAAGTTGTCTGAGTTTTATTCAGAAGATTTTAGTTCTATGGAATGGATTTCTCTTGAGCATCAACTTGGTATTTACATCGATAATATTCGAGATGATGAAAAATTTGCTAATTTGGATAATCTTGGAGATCTTGCACGTGTGATAGTCGAGACAAATAAACATCTTTCACATCCTCTTGTTTATCGACTTTTAAAACTTGCACTGACTTTATCTGTAGCCACTGCCACCGTTGAGATATGTTTCTCTGGAATGAAGATTGTGAAAACTACATTACATAATCGAATGAACGGCCCGTTTTTAAATAATTGTCTGGTTTGTCTTATTGAGAAATAACTATTTGATAATGACAAACGAACTAGTAGTAAAAAAAATTTAAACTATGAAATATTGTAGGATAGTTTTATAGAAGATTTTTAATTTGTTTTTTTTTTATTTTTATTGATTTTTTTATTAATATTAATAATAAAAAAGTTGTGCCCCATCCTAAATAAATTCTTGGGTCCGCCCCTGATCACAGTAGTATCATCTTCTTGTAACTAAGAACCAAAGACATCATAACCCATCAAGACAGAACCATTTAAGAGATTCACAAACACACTTCCGGATGCCGCAATGACAAACATATGTATATGCTTATTTTTCACCTAGATAGAAATCCTAAAGAAAACAACAAATCTCAACAAATCTAGAGAAAAGCAAAGCCTAACTAATTCGGGTTAGAAAGTATTCCATAGACACTCCACTGAAAACAAGAAAAATCTGCAAGTTTGGAATCAGAACACCAAGAAGAGAATAGCCAAATTATCTATTTAGAAAGTGACAATTAGAACCGACAAAAAAAAGTCAAAACGGATTAGATCGGTTATAGATCCGACGAAGCACGCTTCATCAAACTAAAAAACAAACGGATGCAAATCAAATCTATTAAAACCAGAAACTTAGAAATAAAACCACAAGATAGAAAAGAAAAGCGAAACCAACACCATGGTTGTGGAAACCTACGGCCACCAGTTGGAAACGAACCGACGGAACACACTAACATCTGTTTTTTTCTAAAGAGAAGGAGAAGAGAATAGAGAGGAGAGAGAGTTGTCTAGGGTTTTTTCCAATTTAACCCTTTATCTAAATAAATTTTGCAAAACTATCCTCTATCATAAAAAAATGCAGGTCTAACCCTCCACCTAATGGTCAATCCGCAATATAGCCCACATGTATATCGATGACGTGGCACTGAATAACGACGTTGAAAATAAAATGCTGCGTTTAAAAAAAAAATGATCCTGGAAGCATCTTTACGACACCATTAAACTTTGATCTTTCAAGCACTGAGTGCCTTCTTTCTCTTACTCTATGGTAATTATGCTCAAAACAAAGATTTCTCAAATTTCTCATGGCTTAGAGGTAAACTTAAGACTTCGATGTTGATTTTTCAAGCTTATAAAGCCGTTCTTGAGGATACTCCGCCATGTGCTCGACAAAATGCGTCAACCAATCTAACCACGTCACACCAAGGCCCTTTAACTTCGGCGTTCATCTTTCGTTAACGTTGCCATTATTTCGACTTCCCAATCTTGTCTCTTGGCTCTATGACATGAAGAATGACCACCAATGATAAAAGCTGCCATTATCGCGACTTCCCAAGCTTAGCATTTCTGTATAAATTATCCTAGCAAGAGTGTCCTTTCAAGTTAAATATTTATTATATTTGCAGAACATTGACTCCAGGACATGACGCTGTGCAAAAGATAACGTTGATACCAAGAGGCTAAGCGAGAGGTATGACTTTGTTCATTCCATCATATTACCCGACTCTTATCTCCAAGCAGCAACTCTTTGCAAGGATTGTTGGTGGACTCGGTGGTAGAGCTGCTGAAGAAGTCATCTTTGGTGAGCCCGAAGTGACTACTGGCGCCGTTGGTAACTTGAAACAGATCACCGGTTTGGCCAAGCAGGTACGTGATAAGTTTGATCTTATACTTGTGAATGATATTGAGATTGTTAGATCGTTTACTTTGCAGATGGTAACAACATTTGGAATGTCTGAGATTAGATCATGGTGGTTGATGGATTCATCGGCTCAAAGTGATGTCATCATGAGTATGATGGCAAGAAAACTCCATGTCCGAGAGGCTTGCAGATGAAATTGATTCTGCAGTGAAGAAACTATATGAGATAGCTTTAAGCGACATAAAGAACAATCGTGAAGCCATGGATAAGCTTGTTAAAGTGCTTCTCGAGAAAGAAACTATTAGAGGCGACGAATTCCGGACTATTCTCTCGGAGTATACTGAGATCCTGCCGGAAAATCGGGTTCCTGTTTCGACAACATCAACTCCAACCTCAACACCAACACCATCTTCTGTCCAGAAGTAGTGAATCTGCTGCATACTTGTGATGATACTTAATTTTCTGTAAATTTTTTACTGGCAAACTCGAGCTTTAGTAATGTGATACTATTCCAAGTAAATGTTCAAAATTGAATTAGTATATCCACCAAAGCTGAATTGATACTATTTCTGAAACTCTCTTATTTTTTACTCCAACTGTTTTGGCAGATGAGGGAGATGAAGTGATTTCTTAATGGCGGAGGAGGGAGATGAAGAGAAAAGAATATTCAATTCATTTGCAGTCAAATTCTGGGATTTTTATTGAAAAAAACCAATGATATCGAGTTAGTTAATGAGATGAATAGAAACTCATTTAGATGTTCCAGTTGTTTCTAAAATTTCATAATCGAAGAATACAACATTTTTTTTAACTCTTTCCAAAAATGCTGTGTTTAATTTGTCGTGAATGATATACTGTATTCCAGATTGACCATTAGGTGGAGGGTTGACCTGCAGTTTTTCAATGTGAAGTTAATTTTGCAAATTTTGTTTAGGTGATAGATTAAATTGCAGAAAACCTTTTATTTTACTAAAAGGATGTTAAATATTAACACTATTCTCAATTTATATAGTATAGTATATACAATAGCAATATGTTCCTTACTTTCTCAGTTTTCGTTTAAAGGAAAAAAAAAAGCTATAGTTTTTCGCTTTTGGGTTTACTACTTTACTTAACAAAATAAAATGCACCAAAAGTCACTTCAGCTCAATTCCTCAATTCAATAAGTTTCCACAACCGGTGTTCATTCTATATTTGCCAGCCAATATTTTGCTGAATTCCAAGCCCAGTACTCCGTCGTTCGGTCGACGCTGTGTCATGTGTGCATGCATGGTTGTTAATGGCGAAGATGATTTTAGTCGTGCATCTCACTAATGACTAATAGAATCCGAAACATGTTGTCCAATTAGTACACACCTTTCAAGTTAATATCTCCTGTTATTTTATTAAAATTTTGAATACCCTAACATTTTCCTATAAATCCCCATTTCGTGTAATCGTTTTCCTCATCCCACTTCAACACACAAAACACGAAAGAAACGAACGAGCTAAACGCACAAGATAAGTTACGCGTTCTGCAATGGCGATCACACGCACCTCCTTTTCAATTTGCCTTCTCCTCTCTTTGGTGACCATTGCCACTGCTAATTACTATGTTCCTTCATCTCCACCGGTTCATAAACCCACCCTCTCTCCTCCGGTTTATACTCCAGCCGACAAGCCAACTCTCCCACCTCCGGTTTACGCTCATCCAATCCACAAGCCTACTCTCCCACCTCCGGTTTACACTCCACCGGTTCACAAATCTACTCTCCCACCTCCGGTTTACACTCCACCGGTTCACAAACCTACTCTCCCACCTCCAGTTTACACTCCTCCAATCCATAAGCCAACTCTCCCACCTCCAGTTTACACTCATCCAATGGACAAACCCACCCTTCCACCTCCGGTTTACACACCACCTGCACACAAGCCAACACTTCCACCTCCGGTTTACACTCCACCGGTTCACAAGCCCACACTTTCACCTCCGATTTACACACCACCTGCCCACAAGCCAACTCTCCCACCTCCGGTCTACACACTACCTGCACACAAGCCAACCCTTCCACCTCCGGTTCACACTCCACCGGTTCACAAGCCCACACTTTCACCTCCGGTTTACACACCACCCGCCTATAAGCCCACTCTCTCACCTCCACTTTACACTCCACCGGTATACAAGCCTACACTCTCACCTCTGGGTTACACTAAGCCAACTCTTCGACCTCCAGTTTACAAACCCACCCTCTCTCCTCCGGTCTACAAAAAGTCTCCAAGCTATTCTCCTCTAACCCCATACGTACCAAAACCAACCTACACTCCACCCACTAACCCATACGTCCCAGAGATTGTTAAAGCCGTTGATGGCATCATTTTATGCAAAAACGGCTACGAAACGTACCCAATTCAAGGTATGAATACATACTAATTAAGTCTTCCTGATAGAATATCTATTTAACACAACAAAATTACTGATTATAAAATTCTGTTGATTAATTTAATGTAGGAGCAGAGGTAAAGATTGTGTGCTCCGGGCTAGGATCATACGGGAAGAGCAAGAACGAGGTTGTAATTTACAGCGATCCAACAGACTTTAAGGGATACTTCCACGTGGCGTTGACCCACATCAAGAACCTATCTTACTGCTATTGGCCTATTGGGCCAACGTTTGTATAGTTTAGGTTAACACATGTAACCTATGATCCTAATCTTGTATATAAGCTTTTGTACTGAATCAATCATGAAAACCCTTTACAACTGCTAAGGTTTCTTGACATAGTATCAGAGCTTGAAACCTAAAAATTTGGGTTTTGTTTCAATTCATTCACTCTGTTTCTAAACAAAATTTGCTTCTTTTCTCTCTTTCTTTGACCTTAGTTAGTCGATTCTTTCTATCAACAACTTCTTCTTAAATGCCAACAGACGAGGTCTCTGCAGTTTCGTCAAAATCTCAGCGTCGTGTTGATCCAACTCGTCGCACGATCTCACCGTATGACCTGTCATCCGGTGATAACCCTGGAACCGTGATCTCAAGACCTCTGCTTCGTGGACCTAACTACGACGAATAGGCCGCGAACATCAGATTAGCTTTGAGAGCACGGAAGAAATTTGGCTTCACTAACGGATCTATCCTGCAACCTGCAAAGATTCGGAAGACTACGAAGACTGGTGCGCAAACAACACACTCATGATATCGTGGATCAAACTCACGATTGAAGAAAAACTGTATACATCTCTGTCTCACTGTGAAGATGCCGTATTGCTTTGGAACCAAATTCAAAAGCGATTTGCAGTAAAAAACGGACAGAGAGTGCAGAGACTCAAAACAGAGCTCGCTACTTGTCGCCAACAAGGTTCTCCGATTGAAGCATATTTCGGACAACTAACAAAGCTGTGGACAAGCTTAGCTGACTATCAGCAAGGAAAAACCTTGGAGGATATAGCTCGAGAACGAGAAGAGGACAAGTTACATCAATTTCTTATGGGAATTGATGAAACTTTATATGGTGCTGTGAAATCTTCTTTACTCTCTCGCAGGCCCCTACCATCACTTGACGAAGCATATAACGTGCTTATTCAAGATGAAGAATCCAAATCCCTAGCTCGACTACACGAAGAACGAGCTACTGGTGTAAGCTTCGTAGTTCAAACACAGAGTTGCGGAGGAGGAACTGTGAAATGTACACTTTGTGGAAAGAATGGACATCTCGCAGACAATTGCTTCAGGAAAATTGGTTATCCACCATGGTGGGAAGAGCGTAAACAGAATAAACAGAGTTCGGCTACATCTTCCAGAAAGTCCACCGAGGTTACTCGTCTGAATCATCTTCATGCTGGAGTTGATAGTGACACCAAACTCACCGCTTCGGCACATTCAGCAATCACTTCAGCGGATCGCATAGGATTCAGCGGACTCAATGATCAACAGTGGCACACTTTGGTCAACATGCTCAATGAAAGAATAACTTCATCTCACCAAAACCATTGGGTAAGTTCTTTATCGAATCATGGATCATTGACATAGGTGCTTCGAATCACATGACAGGAAGTCTGATTTTTTGACTGAGATATGCGATATGGCCCCAATGTTGATTAAACTTCATGATGGCCGTTTCACTACTTCGAATAAACATGGCAAAGCATTCATGGGATCATTGCTTAGTCTCCAGAATGTGTTCTTTGTTGATGGTCTTCACTGTCATCTGATCTCAGTCTCCCAATTAACTAGAGATAGGGGATGTATTTTTCAGATATCTTACCGCATATGTGTTGTCCAGGATCGCATCACACGGAATCTGATTGGAGCGGGTGAGCAAGTTAATGGGCTGTATTTCTTTCGAGGAGTGGAGGTAACAGCGTCTGTTCGAAGCTTGGAAACTTCTTCTTCTGAGCTATGGCACAGCCGTTTGGGGCATCCTTCTTCGAAGACTTTAGAGATGTTGCATTTATCTAAACTAAGTAGTGGTGTTTTTGATTCTAAGGCATGTGACGTTTGTATTCGTGCTAAGCAAACCAGAGAGTCTTTTCCAATATGCAGCAATAAAACGAGTATGATTTTCGAGTTAATCCATTGCGATTTATAGGGTCCGTATCGAACAGCAGCAATCTGTGGATCAAAGTATTTTCTAACCATCCTCGATGATTACTCTTGTGCTCTTTGGATTTATCTTCTACCTTCCAAACAAGATGCACCAACTCACTTGAAATTTTTGTTGCTTTTGTCGAAAGACAATTTGATATATCAATCAAAATAGTCCGAAGCGACAATGGTTCTGAATTCATTTGTCTTGATGAGTTCTTTCGCCAAAAAAGGATTATACACGAGACTTCCTGCGTAGGTACGCCTCAACAGAATGGTCGCGTCGAACGCAAACATCGGCATATATTGAACGTGGCGTGAGCTCTTCGTTTTCAAGCATCACTACCCGTTGAATTTTGGAGCTATTGTGCTCTTGCTGCTGGCTATCTCATAAACCGAACTCCCACAGCTGTTCTCAATGGAAAAACACCATACGAGATGCTGTACAAGAAACCACCGCCGCTTAACCTCATTCGAATCTTTGGATGTCTCTGTTATGTTCACAACCAAAAGCATGGTGGTGATAAGTTTGAAACACGATCCCAGAAATCTGTGTTTCTGGGCTATCTTTTCGGGAAAAAGGGTTGGCGAGTTTACAATCTCGACACAGGAAAGATCTCTGTCTCCCGAGATGTAATTTTTTGCGAAACAGAGTACCCATTTGCTACTATCGAGATATCATCGTCTTCTTCTACGACTGATCTCTCTACTTCGTGTTTCTTTGACGATCATATGGACTCTCCGGCTATACTCGTCGAGGAATCAATATCTGAATAGCTCCCACCTACACCTGCAATGACGACACCTGACACTACGACTGACGTGCCTGATGTTGTCAACAACGACGATACATCGGATCCTACTGAACCATCACAGGATTCAACTGTTGCTGCACAATCACAGCATGATGTGCCAACAGACTCTCCTGAAGATACCTCAGCGACATCCTCAGACGACGTTTCTTCTGAGATCTTCTCCGATGATACATCCTCGGTATCAGATGATACGCCGGCTTTGCTCAATTCTTTGGATGAATTGCCTTTTGATGAGGTGTGCATCTGTACCTCGAGTTTTTGGTCGTGGATATCGCAAGAAGCAAAAATCCACGAAGCTCAAGGACTATGTCACCACCTTACTACACAACCCGTACCCGTTAGCAACCCCATATCCTATTGATAACTACTTGTCTAGCTCTCAGTTTTCTGACAAATATCAGAAGTACATCTTCGCTATTACGTCTAGGCTTAAGCCAAAATCCTACAAAGATGCGATTGAAGATGAAAATTGGAGACTTGCAGTAGGCGATGAAATTGTTTCACTTGAGGTTCAGGGTACTTGGACTGTTGAGGACCTTCCACCAGGGAAGAAAGCGCCCGACTGCAAATGGGTGTTTAGGCTGGAATTTAACTCCGATTGTACTCTTGAAAGACATAAGGCGAGACTTGTAGCCCTTGGCAACAACCAAATTGAGGGCGAAGACTACAATGAAACATTCGCTACAGTTGCTAAAATGATTACCATTCGCGCTTTTCTTCAACACGTCGCCTCTAATGACTGGGATGTGCATCAAATGGATGTGCATAACGCATTCCTTCACGGTGATTTAGATGAAGAGGTGTATATGCAGTTCTCCCCAGGTTTTTGCACAACCGACAAAACAAAGGTATGTCGTTTGCCTAAATCACTTTACGGTCTGAAGCAAGCTCCACGCTGTTGGTTCTCCAAACTTGCTACATCTATGATTTCCTATGGATTTTAGAAGAACGGCAATGATCATTCCTTGTTCACATACGAACACAACGGGAATCAGTTACACGTCCTTGTTTATGTTGACGATCTCGTCATAGCAGGAAACTCCATGATCGTTATTCAGCGTTTTAAAGATTATTTGAGCTCATGTTTTCGCATGAAGGATTTGGGACTCTTAAGGTATTTCTTGGAGATTGAAGTGGCTCGTAGTCCATCGGGAATCTACCTCTGCCAGAGGAAATATGCTCTGGATATTATATCTGAAACAGGGATTCTCGGCGTCAAACCTGCAACTTTTCCTCTCAAACAGAACCATAAGCTTGCTTTGGCTGATGGTGAAATCATGACAGTACCTTCTCGCTATCATCGCTTGATTGGTAGACTCATCTACTTAGGTACGACTCGCCCTGAGCTCTCCTATGTCATTCATGTTTTGTCTCAATTCATGAATAACCCCAAAGATCATTGGGAAGCTGCACTTCGGGTCGTGCGTTATCTTAAGAACAGTCCCGGACAAGGGATTCTTCTTCGGGCAAATACACCACTCACTCTTACAGCTTGGTGTGATGCTGATTGGGCTGCGTGTCCCCTTACACGACGATCGGTAACAGGATGGTTCATACAACTGGGTGGCTACCCTTTTTCTTGGAAAACACGAAAGCATGATGTCGTCTCTCGATCCTCCGCGGAAGCAGAGTATCGAGCTATGGCCGATACCGTAAGTGAGATTCTTTGGCTGAGAGAACTACTCCCTGCTCTCGGTATTGATTGCAGTTAGCCTACGGTTTTGCACTCTGACAGCTTATCGGCTATCAACTTAGCCGCTAATCCTGTCTATCATGCTCGGACTAAACACGTTGGTCTCGACTGTCACTTCATCCGGGATGAGATCATTCGTGGCACCATTGCAACTAAACATGTTTCTACAACTTCTCAACTAGCGGATATCATGACGAAGGCCTTGGGACATAAGGACTTCGAAATTTTTCTTTGCAAGTTGGATATTTGTAATCTGCATACTCCACCTTAAGAAGGGGTATTGGACCTATTGGGCCAACATTTGTATAGTTTAGGTTAACACATGTAACCTACGATCCTAAGCTTTATATAAGGCAACGCTTTTGTATTGAATCAATCAAGAAAACCCTTTACAACTGCTAAGGTTTCTTGACAACTGCCGTATTAAGCTCTACACATCTCCGGTCGAGACTTGCAAGAACCCGACCAATGTCAACAAGGGTCTCACCTGAGTTCCCTTGTCGATGTACTCCGACAAGATCTCAAAGCTTTTTAACGTCGGTTCTTTCTACTTCACCGGTCCTAAGGCTGCTCATGGCACTCCCAAATACTGATCATTCTCACAATCGTGCATGCATTATATATGAGGCCGCTTTAAACAAATTATTATCTGAATTTTTTTCCCCTTCAAAATGTTCTTTTGGTTTTGTTTGATTGTTTTAATTTCATTTAATTTTTTTGTATTACCAATCTATTCTATTTTTATCTGATATAAAAAAATTACTAGTGAAACATTATTGCTTGTTTGTTTGATTCTTTTTTTAAAAAACACTAGATTACCAT